TCCACAGAGAAGAAAACTGAGGCACAGAGAAGTTGAAAGTTGTTCACAGTCACACAGCAAGTACCAGAATCAGGATTCAGACCCAGGTCTTTCTGACTCTAATGCCGATAGTAGCTGCTTCTCTATATTACAGCTCTCAAACTTCGCTCTAGTGAAAAATCACTTATTGCCTTGTTAGACATGCAGGCTTCTGGGCCTTGCTCTCACATTCTGATTCAGTAGGTCTGGGCAAGTCAAGGGAACAGCATTTTTTATTTAAATCACCCCACATGATTCTATAGCTGAGCATCTGCCAAGCTCACCTAGAGAACGGGAGGACTCCCATGCTGCCTCATATGACACTTCAGATACAAAGCTTTAGTACAAATTCTCAAATGTCAGCATGTATTAGAATCACCAGGGGAGCATGTTGAAATACAGGTCCCTGGGCCCCACCCTCAAAAAGTCTGAATGCGTAGATCTGAGATGGGCCCAAGAATTTGCATGTCTCACAAGTCCTGGCTGATGCCGATGCTGGAGATCTGGGGACCTCACTTTGAGAGCCAGTCTCCTAGAAGCTCGCTGCCATAAGGGTGATCCATGGACCAGTAGCATCAGCCTCACCTAGAAGCTAATGCAGTATCTCAGGCCTCATCCCACACTTAATGAGTCAGGATCTGCATTTGACATGATCCCCATGTGATCTGTGTGCACCTTAAAGTTTCAGAAGTGCTGCCTCAGAGAAACCAGAATGAGGTGATGCTGGGGATGGAAGTAGATGAAGAATCTCTCTTCCCATAGAGTCTGACAATGCAACGAAGAGGGGCCAGCTGTTAGGATGTGCATCCAGAGGGGCTGATGAAAACAGTTGAGCAGTGAGACTTGGGAAGGATAGAGGACTCTTGCCCAATAAAGGTGGAGGGAACAGAGGACAATTCTGAGGACAGGATGTAGGCCTCAGAGGAAAGGCAGCATCAGGCATTCATCTTGGCCATAGAACCATAGGTGGGGAGAGGGAATTTGATTGAGTGCACAGCGGTGGGGAGGGGGTGCACTGGGGCTGAACCTCTAGCTAGGAGAATGGTGGCTGCGGGGAATGTGATGGGTGAGCGCACATCTGAATCAACAGTGTGCTGAGCCTCTGGGAGGGCCAGCTCAGGCAGGAAGCAGGAGTCTGTAGGCAACAGACAAGGCCAGTGTTTTGACTGCCCTGCAGTGCTAGTCACAGAAAAAACCAGCAGCCATGCAGGAGGATAGAAGGGGCTGTGAATGGGCACAGGTCACAGTGGGCCAGGGTGGACACAGTGGGAAGTTCAGGGTGTGTGGGGGCTTAATTAGAAGAGGGAGATCCCTCAGGAGGCTGAAATGTACTCTCTTCTTCCTTTGTGTGTTTGAGAAGCCAAAATCGAAGCATTTGACTGCTCAGAGATGTTAAATTGTAATGGGGTGTTGGGAGGACCTTTATTGTAAGATGGTGGGGTGTGTCGGGTGCCTTGAGCCCCCAGAATTCTCCAACCTTGGCCCCTGCACATACAGCTAAGTGAGGGAGGCTGGGAGGAACCTGAACCCAGTGCTCACTCCCAGGGTGGCTGCCTGTCTTCTTGTTGGTCCTGTGTCTTCTAACGAACGGCCTGCTTTCATCTCTAGGAAGAGTTCCCCGAGTGTTGGGAGTCCCCCTCGCAGCTGAGCCCTTCTCAAGGATCAAGGAGAAACAGGAAACACGTGTACTTACCTTAAGGGCTTTGGGTCTGGGTAACACACAACTGTCCTCTCATTCCACTAAGAAACCATGGTAGGTGGGGTGAGCATAGGCTCTGGCATCAGATAGGCCTGTGTGTGAATCTCAGCCACTTGCTGTGCTGACCTTGGGCTAATTATCTTACCTCTCTGGGCCTTCGTTTGCTTTCCTCTAAGCTTTTTAAGGTCAGGGACCCTGCATCTTTTTTGCCACCCTCTCTGGCACCTAGCAGTGTGCAGGGCAGGTAAGTTCCTGTAGAAGTCTG